CCTCAGAGGAAGTGCTCCGGCCAGCAGCTCCAGTGGCTGTCATCCTGGCCATAGAGGCTGCAGCTGTCCCCCGCCCCGAGGGTGACGACAGCCACACTTGGGCACTCTGTGTAGCCTGTCCCTCGGCAGCTCTGCCTCCGTGGGCTGTGGCCCGTGATAGGGTGGCCATGGGGGATACCTGGTGTTCTCCCATGCTCATGTGTCCAGTCAGGTCCCTGCCGGTGGTTCTTACCTGGGAGGGGAGCAACAGCTTCCTTGTGTGTGCTGTTTACCCTTTGGGGGCTTTGGCCACAGGAACGTGTCCCTGTCACCATCAGAAGTAAAGTTTCTGAGATGGCAGTGTGCTGGGTTTGCGTCCTTCACCAGGTGTTGTAACCCCACCACGCTCTGCCTGCCCTGCACCTCCCAAACCAGAGATCCCCTCCCCCAGCCGCTTCGGGTTCCTCTCACCCTGGGCATTCTAGGGCCTTCTTTGGCTCGTTTCTGGTCTGGCTCTCTGGCCGCGTGTGATGGTCACGGCAGGGCCTCCTTTCCATCTCGTTCATCGCGCAATCCTCTGTGCTGCCTCACACAGTGCCTAAAACAAGCCCCACACTTGTGCAAGGGAAGGGTCTCCAAGCAGGTGCTGTGCCCTGCACTGGTCCTTCCAGGAAGGGTTAGGCAGCATTCGGGGCTGGGAGTGATGCCAGGACATTGTTCTCCAGAATGGGTGCAGAGTGTGCTGCTGGTGCAGCTTCGCTTTCTGTTTTTAAAAAGTTTAGTTTGGGGAAAATAGTAGAAGGAATGAGTTGTGAACAGAGCCCTCTGCTGGCCACCAGAAGCTCTTGCACCCTGACTGTTGGAGCCTGTAGATGATGGATTGTTAGAGTTAGGTGGGCCAAGTGATGGGGGTGGGATGTGTTATGGGGGCGGTGTGATGGGGCTCTGGCCATGTAAGAGGAGAATTGGGCTGTGTGTGAGGGGGTGTGCCAGCTAGGACCCTTCCTGCCATAATTTTGGAGCATCACTGCTGAGCGGCCGAGTGAGCAGTGCCTGTTTTCAATTCTTATCTCTGGCGACGGCTCCCAGCCAGCGGCCTGATCAGAAGGCGGAACGTGTTCCTTTTTAAAACTCCACAGTACAGGGGAGCGCTTCTCGGAAACAGGGCGCCGTGGTCATGTCAGCCGCGCAGCTGAGCTGGTCTGGCTCTCGCGCCCTTTTTCAAGGGTTCATCTCAAGTTTCTTTTTCTGGTTGAACAGTTTTTTCTTTTTTCTTCAGCGTTAATCACTAACGGGGAAGAGGAAGAGGCAAAGTGGAACCATGTGGCCGCACAGACGCAGACCGCGCTGTGGCCGGAAGCTTCTGATTTGTGTCTCCTTTCCCGTGATCAGCTGGTGGGTTAGATAGCAGAGAAGTACTCAGTTGGGGCAAAGGAAGAATGTGATTTTTTTCATTTCTTTCTTTCTTTTTTTAAGCCTTCCCTGGACAGCTCGGTGACCTGGGGCAGGTTGCTTTTCTGAGGCCTGCGGGACCCTTCTTGGTGATCGGGTGGGTGTGCCTGGGCCGCAGTGACTCAGGTGGGGCCTTTGGTGCCCACACCCAGGACCCCGTGGGCTGTGGCCTCCTGCTTGCTAAGGAGTCGCTGCCCTCCTGCATGCTCTCCCTGTGGGTTTGCTCCCCTCTTCCTGACATTCCAATTCCCTTTTCCCAACTGCGCCCAGGATGTGCTGTGCTCCTGTGTGGGGTAAAGCGACTGTGGGACCCTGTACCTCCTCACCGAAAGTTCTCAGGTACAGGCTGGCCAGTGAGGGGTGGCAGTGGCTTGCATGGTCTTCAGGGCCACCTCATTGTTGCTTGCAAAGGCCGTGGAGCAGCTGAGGCAGCGGCCCCGGGTCAGCCGTGCGTCAGCACAACCTTTTCCCCCAGAGGTCCCCTGGGTCCAGCAGGGCAGGTGCCACGCGCACCCTAACGAGACCCTCAGCTCTGTTTGGACCTGTCTTTTCCTGTAAAGCCTGTGCAGGCTCCTAGTCCTTGAGGCTTGATGTGATTTTAACACCGTCTAAGCCGTGGGCCTGCTCAGAGAGGGACGGAGGGCTGGGCGAGTGGGCAGAGTCCTTCGGTAATCGCCTGACTTCCAGTTCTCGGAGCGTGGAGTTCGCAGAACCCTGCTTTGTAGGGCCTGTGCTCTGTCCCCAGGGCCGCCAGGAGGCACCAACGCAGAGGGCAGTGTTGGAGCAGGGATCCCGGGACCTAGGGGGTCTTGGGAAGCTGGAGTTGGGGCTGGACCCTGAAGGCCGGGCGGGGTCTAAGAGGATCTGGAAGAAACTGCTGGATTTGGCAAGGAAAAGCACGTGTTGTGAGCTTGGGACATGCTCATGCCGAGAAGGGCCTCCCGTGTGCCTGGGGGACCTGCTTTGCTGATGGCTACTGGGGGACTGCCTGGTGCAGATTTGTGGGTGTGATGGTGGTGGCATGCGTGTCCCTGAATGGATTACCTGTGCTCAAGAGCCAGGACTGCTGATTGTGTGCCCACCTGGCCCAGTCTGAGGCTGTCTCCGGAAGGGAACAGTGGTGCCTGCCCAGGTAGAGGGCTGGTCCTCCGCCCTGTTAAGGCACTCACCATTTGTGAGGTGCTGGGCTTTCTCTGCCGTGCACGTGTGTGCATGTGTGTGTGTGTGTGTGTGTGTGTGTGTGTGTGAGAGAGAGAGAGAGAGAGAGAGAGAGAGAGAGAGAGAGAGAGAGAGGAGGGAGGTAGTGGGGGTTCCAGGTTAACTATAAGTGCTTTCCTGATGTTGGCTGGTGTGCTACTCAGGGCAGGCGGGGGTGGGGCCTGCTGCCACTCACCGGCTGTGAGGTGGGGCTGGAGCCCAGTTCTGAGTTGCCTGTCTTTCCTTCCTGGCTGTGGCTGCCTGAGGCCAGCCTCACCTGGTATCCCCCCAGGGTATCCTCCCAGTGGAACCGTGAGTGAACCTGGCCATGGGCACCCATCTCAGTGTGGGCACTTCTCTCCGTGTGGGCACCCCTCTGTGTGGGCAACCCTCTTCATGTGGGTACCCCTCTCCATGTGGACACCCACCTGAGTGTTTCCCAACAGATTCTTTTGATCTAGGTTTTCCGTGCTGATGAACTTACTAATGCAAAAATGAAGTTTTGGAGACTCCATGTTGTAAAATGTCTCCTTTTCTCTCTCTGTCCACCCTCCTTCGCTCCCAAACATGTTCAGTGTTTGCCCTGTGCCGGGCACTGCCCTGGGGCCCGGGAGGCAGCAGTAGGCGGGGCTGGAGCAGACAGCGTGCGTTCTCTTGAGGGGGCAGACAGCAGGTCGACGAAAAGTGGTTCCAGCTGCACAGAGTGTCAGGGAGAAATGAGCGCCGTGGCTCGGAGCTGCAGATGAATCTCATGGGTGAGACTGGCCAGCCTCTTCTGTACCGAGTGCCATTGTCTTGTGAAGCCCGACCCGGGAGGAGGGGAACCGCTGACTCTGGCCAGAACTCGGGTTAAGAACAGGATTCTCAGGGGTCACTTTTGTCCAGCGTCTGGAACAGCCTGGTGACCTGTGGGTTGCCGCCAGGTGGTCTTGGGCGGTGGGGCCCAGGAGTTCGTGCGTGTGTCCAGTACTGACAGGTGCAGAGCACTGAGCTCAGTGCTGAGTGTGTCGTCCCCCCAACCAAGGCTTCCAGGTAGAGAGTCAGTCCTGACTTCCTAGCCTATTGGCTTAGTTCCCACTTCAACCAGGATAGGGTCAGGGCCCAGCCAGTTGCCATCTGGCTTCAGGTAAAAGCCAGCAGCCCCCAAGGCAGGCTGTGACGTGGCATGAGGGCAGACAGCTTTCTCGGAGGAACCTGAGCTCCTAGGGGAGTGTGTCTTGCATGTGAGGGTTCCAGCATCAGTGCATGGTACAAGGCAGGCACCTGGGGCCTTGGGGGGGGGGGCGCTGTGTCATCCAGGGTTGCTGGGAAAGTAGGCCCGGGTTTTCCTATTTCGGGGAGGGTAGGTACCCAGGCAGCTATTGACAGGAGAGGGGGCTCAAAAAGCCAGCCCCTGGACTAGAGGGCAGGGTCACTCTGTGTGCCATAAACAGACCACCTTCCTGCGGCTGACTCTGGGAGGGGGGGGTCCGTGAGTGGTCTCCGGCGGTGGTGCCCCCTGCCCTGTTTTTTGGGTGGTGGCAAGCCCCTTCAGGAGAACACAGCAGCTGCTCTGCTGGTCCTTTCCCCGGGGGAAGAGCTATTGACACAATTGGCAGCCCCTTGCTTAGTATGTGATATGGTGGGTCCCTGGCCCCCCAGATCCGGGCCTGTGAGCTGCAGAAGTCAGCATAGCAAAAGGCGTGTGCAGGTGACTCAGGCCTGAAGGCATCCATGTGAGCCACCTCCCTTCTGGGAATCCTGGGAAGGTGGATGTTTGTGTTGGAGGCGGTGGGCGGCGGCTTGGTGCCAGCAGGCCGTGTGTCAGGATCCACAGCTTTTACCATGACATTGAGCCCTGCCTGTCATGAGCCAGGAGTCCACCAGCGACCTGCTGGCCTGGGCTCTGGGCTGGGGAAGGCCGGAAGAACGCCACCTCTGCTGCACATAGACTGGGCTGTGGACAGCCTGGTAATGCTTGGCCGGGGGCCTGGAAAGTGTCGGGAGCTCCACCCAGCACGGGAGCCTGTGGGAGTTCTCCGAGTTCTTGGAATTCCTCTGTATTGAGGTGTTTACCTTCTCGGGACTTCAGCTTGTACTCTGCCCACCAGAGTCTAATAGCAAGCATATACATACTCAAGTTTACGAGACCACCCTGGCGCCCCGGTGATTCAAACTGCACAGTCTCTGGAAGGGCAGCCGTGCTGGAGGTCACACCCCGCTGTAGGCCAAGAGCAGGTCTCTGTGCAAAGGGACACACCATCAGTGTCAGACACGGGTGGGAGAAAGGAGCTGAGCAGGGCACCAGCCACACACAGCATGCTGCCATTGCCCCGCGCCCCCGAGGTCCAGGAGGGGTATTGACTTTCTGCCTCTCGCTTTCTCTCTGCCAGGTCCCCAGTCTGTGTGAAGATCTCCTGTCTTCTGTTGATCAACCCCTGAAAATTGCCAGAGACAAGGTGGTGGGGAAGGATTACCTGCTGTGCGACTACAACAGAGATGGGGACTCGTACAGGTGAGTGCCCCAGGAAGGCTGCCAGCCCGGCCGGCCCCGGCACCTGTCGCAGAGTGCATGGACCACAGAGCTGGCAGCCTGGCCGCCCTTCTTTCCACACGTCCTTCTCTCCTTTCGCTCGTTCATTCCTCGTATGGCAGGTGTTTGTGGAGTGCATCGGACACAGGACGAGCGATGTTTGCTAATATTCCCACTGCAGGAGGCCTGCAATGGGCAGGGCAGGGAGTGCATGTGGTCCCTAGGGTGGAAGGCAGCTCTCCCTTCACCACCATGCTGAGTGCTGGGAAAGACCAAGAGTGGTGGCTGCTGGCCTGGACAGGAGCAGAGCGCCTCCCAGCTGATGTTGGCAGCTCCGACTCTTGAAGTCAGGCAAAGCCTCCTCAGACGTGGGCAGCACAGAGTGGCCGTGGCTGAGTTGTGCTGCATCAGCTGGGGGCTGTCTCTGGAGGGGGCGCCCAGGTGCCTGAGAAGCAGAGGCAAGAAAAATTCCCTGGATTGGCCCTTGCCGGCTACCCACCCATCCTGCTCCTGCAGCGGTGGGCCTTGGGCTCCCCCATCTGGTTTTCGGTTTTCTCACATACGAGATGGAAATGGCTCTGTGTATTCACATAATGGAGCACCCTGTGTCCCAGGCCCCCTGCTGAGTCTCCCTCCCCAGGAGCTTAGGTCCCAGTGAAGAGGCGTAGGAAGCACAGCCTGTAGGCATAAATTGTGTAGCAGAGCGCTGGAGGACGATGGGGTTGGCGGGGGGGGGGGGGGGGGACAGAGCGGTGAGCAGGGAGGGGATCCGCTGGAGGTGGATTCAGTTCTGCCGGCAGAGGAAGCCATGGATGTGGTGGAGATGGGGGAGTGGTCGTTTTGGCCCTTACCGGGTGCTGAAGGCCAGGCTAGGGCTCCAGGAACGAGACAAGCAGTCACTCAGGTGCTGGAGGGCTCAGAGCTTGCCATCGGCTGGGGGGGGGGGCGGTTAGATTCACACCCCCTTTCTGAGTGGCCCGGCCAGCACGTTCTTTGTCCAGCTTTCTGAGGAAGGTGGAGCGTATGTTCCAGCCTGATACAGAAGTGGAGGTGGAAGTGGAAAGTGGGGGTGAGTTTTTAGAGTGGAGCCAGAGGGGCAGGGGCAGGGGCAGGGCAGTCCCAGAGCTGAGGAGATGGGCAGGCCAGTCACCAGGGCTGGAGGACCTGGACCTGGTCAGGGGCACCTGTAAGCTCATGGTGCTTGTTGGACAGACGTGGAAATTCCTGGGGGGACAGTGGACAGTGGATGCCAGCTGTGGTCCAGGAGAGAGCTCAGGGCTGGAGCTTTAGCCTCAAGGCAGGTCCAGGTCTGTGTTGAAGGCTGCTCTGTCCCTGACCCAGTGCCTGTGCCGGGCAGGGTGTCCAGGCCCAGTCCTGCTGGGAGCCCCTGGGGAAGTAGGTGGAGCACCCAGGAGAGAAGTTCCCTGAGGTAATGTGTGGTCTGACTGACTTCGGGGCCTCGGAGGTGTGCCCTGCCCCATAGCCTGGTACAGGGTTCAGAGGGAGCTTCCTGGGTGGGGTGGTTCCTGAGCCCAGTCTCACACCTGAAAGTCACAGCCTGCCACGCACAGCAGCCGTTCCATGGGAACTGTGCGAGGATGGGCTGTGTCCCTGGCTCCCCAGACTCAGCACCCAAGGCCCCCTCTCCCAGCACCTCGGGCCTCTGCTACCTCTCGGAGACCCAGAGGTCCTCTGGAGGGAGGCTGGTGTCAAGGCAGAACCAGCCTGCCTGCCTTTCCCCGTGTCCACGGAAAACTCCAAGGCCCCAGACTCCCAAGCGTTTGATCATTGGCTTAAATGGGATCCTTATGGCCTGGCCGCTGCCAGCGCTGTTTGAAACCTGTTAGCTGAAACAAAAGCCCTCTCGGAGGGAAATGAAAGCCCTGACTTTTTAAATCCCAGCATTCCTGTCCATCTGTCTTTTTTCAAGCGGCCTCCAGTTAAGCTCTTAAATGTGTTCTCAGTGCCCCTTCCAACGAAGAATATTCTGGGTAATGTTATGATTTCCCCCCTAGCTACAATTACCGCGGCTCCAGGACTAACAGCCTGAAACGCTGTTGTCTGAGAGCCAAGAGAAAGGTGACGTATAGGCTTCTGGAGAATTCCAGGCCCCGTCTGCAGGAGAGAAGGGCTCTCGAATGTAATGGGTTCACTTCAGCATGAAAGCCAGCCGGGGCGGGGGCATCTGGGAAGGTGAGGGCCTTGGGCCTGTGGATGGCGTCCTGCTTAGCCGAGGGCTGAGGGGGTGAAGTCTGCACCCCACTCCCCCAGGGGTGGAGGAGCTTGGCCTCTCACTCATGGGGAGCTGGTAGCAACGCCCTTCCCCTGCACCTGCTCCAGTAACACTCAGCAGCCTGGACAGAGAGCGCTGCCATCCATGGTTACAGCCTTGGAATCATGTGGGTGCCACCTGCCCCCTGTCCATAGCTGTGCCCCTGAGGCCTTGCTCTGCTTGGCAGTGGGTGAGCAGGTACAGGAGAGGTGAGCAGGTGGGCATCTATCTGTAGGGGAGAGAGGAGGAGCAAGGATTCATTTCTTGCCTTAGTCATTATTGTCAGCGTGTACGCAGTGGTTGGTGTGCCAGGTGGCAAATGCCCAATGGGGGGGGGGCGGGGTCAGAGGGTGCCTCCCTTGGTGGGACTGTCATGCTGGCTGTGCAGACCAGACTGGAGGGAGGTAGCTGGTCATGTGGGTTGCACTGGGCACACTGGGTGGCATGCGCTGCAGGAGGCAGGTGCGCTTAGGGAGTGTTTCCATCTGCGCAGCTCTGCCAGGCAGCACTGTTTGATGAGTAAAACCAGAGCTGGCATGGCAGCTTTGCCCAGGAACAGAAGCCGCTGGAGAGAAGAGGCACCCGCAATGGGTGCCTGAGGACAGGATGGCCCTGTCTTCAGGCCATCCGGGGCCCCAGCTTGTTTAATTTCTTTTCTGTACCAACTATGGGTTCCTGTGTAACTGCAGTTTGTGCTGGTCTTGGGCAGCACTGTGAGCCCTCTCCATTCCTTCAGAGGCTCCACCAGCTAGGAGTGCCAGGAGAGCCCACTGCAACCCCAGGGGCAGCAGCACCCTCACCCCTGCCCTTGGCAGGCAGGCAGGCACCTCGTCCTGTGGCAGCTTGTGGAGGAGGCTGCCCAGCTCTCTCGGACTCCAGACTTGACATAGTTTGCAGATGTGGTTGCCTGGTGGGAGTTGTCTGCACAGAACTGATTGAAGCAGGGGTTCAGGCAGCAGTCCCCCGTGGAAGGTTCTTCAGTGTCATGGGTGGGGAAGCGGGCGGGCAACGCAGGATCTGACGATGGAAAGCCTGCTGCCAGTACCCAAGCGTAGAAGAGGCTGCCCCAGGCCCACGTGGTGGTGCCCTTCGTTCCTCTTCTCAGAGCCCATCTGCAAGGCTTAATGGGTGCACCTTCTCCTTATCACCCCCTTTCCCAAAGTCTTGGTGACTCAGTGCTTTCCTGATGTGGGAAATTCAAATTTCATTTTAGGAACTGTAGCAGGTCCTGGGGCTGGTTGTGTGGGGGATGGAGCTGGTGCGCAAAGAGCTGTCCCCTGTGCACGTGGACGACCCAGTCCCACGGGTTCCTGCTGTGGCAAGCCTCTTCCTGGGCAGCTGAGGGCAGGGGGGTCTCCCTGTGATGGGCAGTGCCTCTGAGCACCCACGGGCGGGAAGTCTATGCAGAGCTGCCAGCAGGTCAGTGAAGGACAGGCGTCTGTTGATCAGTAGGTGGGCGAACACGAGAGCAAAGGGGCAGCCTTGGCAGGCCCTGGTGCCTGCTCTCCACAAGCCTTGTCCTTCATTTCCACCATGGCGCTTGGGCGTCAAGCGGCTCCTGTGCACTCAAGGTTCAGTTACGGAAGGCACTTCCCGAGAGTGCATTGTGGGGCGGGGGATCGGGGATGACAGACTGCGGAGCCCTGCCTGCTTGACCCAGGGCCCTGCTCCACCCTGTGTATCGCCAGGGTCTGGATGTCTCTGCCACGGGTGGTGGCTTTGTCAGCAGTCCCTCCTGCTCGCAGACAATGTCTCCGTGGAGTGGTTCACCTGACCTCCTTCCCCTGCTACCTGCAGGTCACCGTGGAGCAACAAGTACGACCCTCCTTTGGAAGATGGGGCCATGCCGTCCGCGCGGCTGAGGAAGCTGGAGGTGGAGGCCAACAATGCCTTTGACCAGTACCGAGACCTGTGAGTTTCTCCCCTGCTCGCGAAGAGGTCCGGTGGGGTGCTTGTGGGACGTGTGGGAGGGTCTCAGACCTCACTGGGTACCGCTGCTGTGCACGGTGCCCAGCATCCCTTCAGCCCTGCCCCAAGGCCCGTTCCCAGAGAAGGGTCTGTGCATGGTGACATTGCCCATAAGGCATAGCATTCTTGCAACGGGCAGGCAGGTTCAGGCAGAGAACCTGTGTAGGCAAGGCATCAACCCCCAAACCTGGCTGGGATCCCCAAGAACTACTGCAAGAGGGTCTCAGAAGGTGGCCTGCCTCCCCGGCCTGGCAGGAGATGCCAGAACCACAGGCAGATGCTCACACCACTGGGTGAAGGAGGGGTGGGGCAGAGCTGCCACTGTGAGAGCTAGACTGGCCCTGCACCATGGCTGGGCCTGGGCAGCCACGGCTGTCTCTCCCAGGGTTACTTGGCACTGCAGCTTGTGGTACTGGAAGAACAGTTGAGTCCCCTGGGGTAGCCAAGAACCCTCAGGACTTCTGAGCTCTTGGTTCCTCAGGCCTTGCAGTCAGGTCTGTGTCGGGCTTGGGTTCTGCCCTCTGACCACCTGCCCATCAGAGTCCTGCCAGCTGCCAGCCTCTGCCACATCTGGGTCTGAATCGTCTCGTGGACATCACTGTGCTGCTGGCAACTTGGAGGGAGCCACTTTGTGGGGGCTGACCTGATCGCATGCAGTGAGGCCATGTAGTCCTCATGATCACTCATGAACCCGCAGGCCAGTGACCCACGGGCTGTGACTTGCAGCGCTGTGTGCATAGGTGTGGCTGCCTTCCCCATTCACTGCAGAGCCCAGTAGCCTCGTCCTTCCCCTCGGGGGTCTTGAAGGATGAATGGCAGGACACCCTGCACTGGAACACACCCTGGACCATGTGGCTGCCTCTCACTACAGCAGCTCTGCCCCAGAAGGGCAAGTCTTCCTCTTGGGGCTTGGGGACACATGTGGGCTCCTTCTGGAGTTGTTGAGCCTGGATCTGGGTCTAGAATGTGTGGACCGTGTAGGGAGCCAGCAGCATGGAGCTGGGCCCCGGTGGCTGCCTCAGGTGCCCTGGGCTGGGCCTGGCGTTTCTCAGGCAACTATGAGTGAGGCTCCCTCCCCAGGCAAGCGGACTACGGAGTTGGTGCCGTGGAGGCAGTCCCATATCCTGCCCACTGCTCTCTGCTGTCCCTGGTCCGTGGGGCCTCCTGGATCCTTTGTGTCATCCTTCCCCCAGCTGTCAGCTGCTGTTGATGGCGCCACCCGCACCACCGTGTCCTCAGAATGCAAGAGTCTGCTTGCTGCAAGCACATAGGTGATATGATCCACCAGTGTGCTGGGACCAGGGAAGCCTCCTTGTCAGCTCTCCGCTGCCTTAGCAACATCTCCTACCCCTTCCCACCTCAGCTGACTCAGTGCAAGGGAGTAGCTTGGCCCTTGGCACTGGGCAGGCGCAGGTGGCCGCCCCACGGTCCTTTCCTAGTAGTCCAGACTTTGCTCTTCCTGGGCCTGGGCCTTGTTACCTGACCTCAGCTCTCTCTCTGTTTGGGGAAAGACTTGGCTTCCTTTGAGGGTATGTACTCTCTATTGCAGAGGAATGCTGTGCTGGCCAGGTGAGCTGTCCTCGCCTGCCAGGAGCCCCAAGATCGGGGTTTTGATAGTTCAGGTTTCTGGAGAAGACAGGAAACCGTCCCTGCTCGAGCTTTCATGTTGAGCCTCGCCCTGGCCTCTGTCGGCCCAGCTCTGCCCAAGACCAGATGTTCTAACCAAAGGGGCTGGCACCGCTTTGTTCCCAAGATGATTGCCCCCATCTGCGCCAGGCATCATGCCCTGTGCTCTGCAATGTGTGGCTTTTGGCTTGCAGCAGATAATACCTTCAAACACGCGGTTGCAATTTATTGGCCTTATAAGTTAATTTTAGTGGGTGTGCAATTGATTGAAATCAAAGCTTAATGAAGGCCAGAGTTCGGGAGTGGAAGAACAGGCCAGCAAGGCATCTTGTGTTCTTTCTTGCTTTGGGTCTGAGATAATCTTCAAAAGCTTTCATTAGCCTCTCTGATCAGCCCTGCATGTCTGGAAGAGGTTTGCAGAGTGAGTCATGGCGGGTGTCCCGGTGGCAGCACCAGAAGCCACTGGCTCTGGAGGGGTGTCACCATGCTTGGGAGTGCTGGGGGTTCCCACATGCTCCCCTTCCCCGTTTCCACCTGCCCTTGCTGGGATCCTGCTCCCTGCACTCGCGGCAGGCGTGTTTGTGTGTGAGAGACGGTGGTCACTACAGGCTCCTGGGGCCTTGGACCTGCAAACGTGCAGGTGCCTTCCCTGCCCAGGACTTCCTGGCTCGAGTCTCAGCAGCCGTTGCCAAAGCAGGGAAGGATTTTTGGAGGAAGCTGCCAGAATCTGGGGAGAAGTGGCCGACGTGGTAGCAGGAGGCTTCCAAGTCCCAGGCCGGGGTGCATTGGGGAGAACCTTGGTTTGTGTTTGTTCATTTGTTTAAGATTTTATTTTGTGTGAAAGGCAGAGTGGCCCAGATGTGTTCCGTCAGTGGTTCACATTCCTGTCAGGCTGAAGCCCGGAGCCAGGAACCTCCTCCAGGTCCCCCACATGTGTAGCAGGGGTCCGAGTGCCTGGGCCCTCTCCTGCTGCTCTGCTTGGTGCATAAAGCAGTGAGGGGATCAGAAGTGGAGTTGCTGGGAATCGAACCAGTACTCTGGCAGGAGCTGCTGGTGTTGTATACCACCACTGGCCCCAGGAGCTTATCTCCCCTCTGTTCTTCCCCTGTTTGCTGACTGGCACTGGGCAGGTGAGCTGACCCCTCTGGGCCTGTGTTCCTGCCTGGCCATCCCTCGGGGCTGGGAGCTGCTGCTCTGCTGACCCCTCACACCGCCAGCGATCTCAGGCTGTAACAGCAGCAAGATCCTGTTGCTCATGTCACTTCCTGAGTAGATGTCCGTGTTCTTTGCACTCGTGGCTGTAAGGCTGTTTGAATGGCAGATCTGGCCAGACAGTGGGCCATGTGGTGTCCCCAGCCATGCTACAAGCCTGGGCATCTGGTTGTGGTTCTGCCTGACGCAGCAGGAGCCTGAGCATTCCCTGGAAAACAGAGTCGATGGCACCCACATGGACTGCTCACCAGCAGGGAGGATGCCCAGGGTGCTGGGTCACTCCCCAGCTGCTCACGGATGCTCTTGGATCCAGTCCTTGTGCTCTGCTTTGAGTTGGGCTGATGAGGTTCACATGAGAGCAAGTGGCAGCAGGAGCCAGGCACTCGACACAGTTTGCTCTGAAGGAGCAAAGGCTGGTCCTGGAGTGGGGACAAACAGGGGGAGCACTTGAGATGGGGCAGCCCAGGATGGAACTGCAGGTGATTGGCGAGGACTCGTGTCATGCAGCAGGGTCAACAGAGCCAGCCCCACAAATGCTGGCTCTCAGAAGACTTGCTGGGATGGAGTTGAGCCTGGCAGGAAAGCCACCTGGTGCCCTGTTGGAGTACCTGACTCAGCTTGCTGTCAATACGGGAGGCTGCAGTACAGGAGACCTGGATTGAGCTCTGGGGCCTTGGTTCCTACCAACCCCACGCGTTAAAAACAATTGTCTCTGCAAGGCTGGGCTCCAGGAGCTTGAGTCCTCTTGCCTCACATGCACAGCGGGCCTTCCCTCTGGGCGTGTGCACTCATTGTGTGCTGGGGGAGGGAGCCACCCCTGCCCCTTCCTCGGGCTTCCCCTGCGTGTCCTGTCCTTCACCTGGATTTGCTCTGTCCTTTCATTGTAGTTTGTCTTGGTTGTGCTTGCACCTCTGTCCTGAGTCTGTCACTTGGAATCATCGAGCCGTGGTGACCTTGGGGATGCTGGCACAGCTGTGTAGCCTGACCAGCGGGGTGGAGGGAGTGCATTCATGGGACTCCAGGTGGTGAGGTCTTAAGGTGGTGTGGTGAGGGAGTGCAGCTGGAGCAGGCTGTGCCGGTGGGGTGTGGTGCAAGGCCCAGGTGCCAGCCGGCTGCCACTTCCAAGGAGCCTGGGACCTGGAAGTTCCCTGTCCTGGGAAATCCCCTGAGACACAGTTGGGAGGTGGGACGCACTGGGGAGCAGGGCATCGAGGGCTGGGGAAAATAAGGTCAAGATAAGAGTGAGCTGTGGTCTGGAGCTCGTTGGCGGCACAGCTAGTGTCAGGGTGTCAGTATGTGCTTTACTGTGTGTGTTCAGTCATGCTCACAGAGTAGCCCAGGTGGACCCACCCCTCTGCTGGGAGCTGTTAGTGGGAGACCCAGGCTTGCTTCCCTCGTGTTGTTTCATGTTGTTTCTGTTGAACGGGGGAGCTGGACCTGTTGGAGCCTTCTCCACCCTTGGAGGAGTCACGGCGCCTCTGCTTCCTGTTCTCCAGGGTGAACCCCAGGCCTCTGCTGCATCTGGGTGGGGGTCCCCTCTGCTTCCTGTTCTCCAGGGTGAACTCCAGGCCTCTGCTGCATCTGGGTGGGGGTCCCCTCTGCTTCCTGTTCTCCAGGGTGAACCCCAGGCCTCTGCTGCATCTGAGTGGGGGTCCCCTTTGCTTCCTGTTCTCCAGGGTGAACCCCAGGCCTCTGCTGCATCTGGGTGGGGGTCCCCTCTGCTTCCTGTTCTCCAGGGTGAACCCCAGGCCTCTGCTGCATCTGGGTGGGGGTCCCCTCTGCTTCCTGTTCTCCAGGGTGAACCCCAGGCCTCTGCTGCATCTGAGTGGGGGTCCCCTTTGCTTCCTGTTCTCCAGGGTGAACCCCAGGCCTCTGCTGCATCTGGGTGGGGGTCCCCTCTGCTTCCTGTTCTCCAGGGTGAACCCCAGGCCTCTGCTGCATCTGGGTGGGGGTCCCCTCTGCTTCCTGTTCTCCAGGGTGAACCCCAGGCCTCTGCTGCATCTGAGTGGGGTCCCCTCTGCAGTCTCCAGAGTACCTGAAGAGGCTTACATGTTGCTCCACCCCCCATTGGGAGCCAGAATGGAAGCACCCACGCAGGTCCTCCC